CTACTTGCAGTGAAACCAGAGTTATTCATAGGCACAAGGTGCAGCTCAGAGCGAAATGACAAGATTCTCACAGCACTTTCTTCCCTTAGGGAAGACACATGTTCCAGTCCTACTCAGGCAGACCTTTGCAGCGTGGCTTGGTGCCCAAACCACTGGCTTACAGCATACTCTCGTGGAGCTCCTACGCTCTTCATAAATAATTGAATATTCACCAGAATAGGAATATCTTCCAAAGGCAGGGGAATGCTATATACCATTAACCACTAACACTGATGTCTCTAACCTGTGATCCACTCTAATCACCTACCACGGAGCTTCACTCAAACAAGTCATTGGCTCCAGCTTTTCCAATTACAGTTAAAACAATTATAATGAGGAAGAATTTAACAAGTTGTTGTAATAGTTCACCAAGTTTACTGTCCTTTTATCATGACTACATGCTTGACTACATTTCTGTTTGGATCTTTAACTTCAGTTAAAGAAATGCTTTCTATAACACAAGAGGCTCTCACTCACCCACTTAATGTGATTGAAATTATACTAGAAAAAATCTGAGCCAGTAACCAGATATCTTGATAGATGGTATTTGTAATGTAAAAAATAGTAAGTTCTTAATCTCAAAAAAGTGTCGACCTGACCCTGTTATTTGCTAAAACTTTAAAAATTGCCCATTTGTGAGTGCATTGTTTTCTTGGTGACTAATCCACACAATCATGTAATGCTCCGATGCACTCTGCTACACATTTTCCATAATAGTAAGCTTAGTCTGTCAATTTGATCTTATCAGATCCTATCAGCCAGGTCTTTGGGGAAGGGGTTTGTGGGGGTAGAGGTACCTGTCTTCAGCAACACCACCACCACCACCTGCTTCTTTGCACTGTTCTAGTGATAGGCTTCAGCTTGACCTTTGAGGAGGCAGAGTTAACCTCTAGACCAAATTGAAACCAGTGGAGTTTGAAGATGTATGCTGATAGGAAAGTATGGAAGTGAAAAACAAAATCATTTCCTCCAAGAGTCAGGAGGATGTGTTGATGCCAGGATAGTTAGCAAACAGATGGACATAAGGTATTGAAGGTACAGAAATGTACGTCAAGGCACATAGCATAGAAATGTGAAATCTTGCTGTTTAAAATGTGTTTTCTCAAAAAGCACAACTGACTGCAGTCTGGAACAACACAGGGCATCAAAAGAGAAGGTTACCATGTGAGAGCATGAGAAAGAGAAGACAAAGGAGAGGGACTAGGAACGAGCTACCATTGATGGACATGCTGGTAAGGCAAAACTAAGCATGGACACAAAAGTAGGTAGTTTATCACCGAAGGCATACGTATCCTCTGGCTCAGTTAGTCCTTGATAATAGTTATGTGGTTGCCCTACTACCACTTTGCTCACCTCCATCCCTCCTTCTGATTATGGCATTCACCACCATCACTTAAACATTAGGCAAAGAGGGAGATAAGCATGGCTGGGGGTACAGCAGTGCTGTTACAGTTACTCTCTCTTCTAGTCATCTGCCCATCTGAGCATGACTTAGGCACAGACACAAGAGGAGAAAAACAGTCATTAGCACATCCCCTCAATGGAAGGATAAGAGATAAAGGAGACCTGTGAAGGATGAAAGAGGTAACAGAATATAGCTCTCTGTCCAGACCTTTAACTCCCTCAGCAGCAAGCCATCTTCTAGGCTTTAGCCAAAACTAGCTTATGCTTTGCTATGCTTTAACAATTCCAAGGTAACTCCTGTCCCTTGACAGGATATCTAAAAATTCTCACTCCAAACAGCAATTGCTGTAATAATAACAATGCTTACATTTCATTATTTAACCTCAGCTCTTCATTCATAAGGATTAGTGCTTAATTAATTAACAACACTTAGCAGTTTACCTCTTCAAAGCAGCGTGCAGACAATACCTAATTAAGGGCAGAACTCCACAGCCACTTCACATCAGGAATTCCTTTTGACACCCTCGAATCCAGGAGTCGCTCACATGGTGTGGCATGAATTCAAGTTGAAAGCCCCATTTACTTTATCAGAAACCAGGTGATGCCCTGACTACCAAGTGACTGTCTTTGCAAATTCTTTTTCTTTTCCTCTTCCTTCTGGTTTCTTATTATTCACCCAGGGATCTAATTATTGGCTAATGTGATGGGTGATAATGTGAACCTTGTATTAGTGTTATCTACAAAACCTTCATTCTTTCATTAGTGAAAACCTTGCTCTCAGTCACCTGGTTGAACTGCTTTTGGATAGAAAATGTGTTAACCACAGAAACAGATTAGAAAATGTCAAGGCAGAGTTTTCAAGGGGGATAGTGCTCTCAATCCGTCTGTCAAATGCCTGCTATGAAAGTGCCTTTCTTGTAAGAACTCCAGGGTGCTACACAACATCAGTAGACAATATAAACACAGAGCTTTTATGGTTCACTTTACAATTGGACATTGACTCTGAACCTGTGAAACAGAAAGGAATTGAATTTCATGACCAAAGAGGATAATGTGCACAGGATTAAGTAGACAACACTGGTGGAAGCAGGAAAGCAATACGGCACTGGATGCTGACAGAGAGATTAAATTTACAAATAAGAAACCAAAGGAATAAACCAATTCTGAGTAATCACTCAGAAACCAGCAGTAGCACTCAATGCTTCATATCAATCCACTACTTCTTTTTTTTTTTTTTCAGCAAATCAAACATGCTGATGGGTTTATTCAAAGCCCACTGATTGACCAAGCCCTGACTATGGGAACTGAACAAAGAGAGCCCTACATATGTAATAGATACAGCCGAGAGAATTATCCAGGCAGTATGGTAAAAAACCTTCCGTCAGTGTCAAATTGGAAGAAGAATAAAATATTCATCACAGTTCAAGAACTTGTCTCGTGTCTCAGAGGGTGTCTTCACAGGGCAGTGGCTGACAGTGCAGCAGCCTGTGGCTGCTGTTGCTCAAACCTGCTCCAGAAGAAAGCAAGTGATCCAATACAGCAACGTGGCTTCCAGCTCTGAGTAGTGCTGTAGTGTGTCACACGCACGTCACAGCTCACATCAGCTAGGCCAAACGGCTCTCTCAGGAAGCCCCTCCTGCCGGATGAGCCACACCTTGACAGATAGTAGAAATTTAACTGATTCGGTTCTCTGAAAACTGACTGTATTGAACAGAATCTGACCTAACCATTTTGGCACTGAATTCCTCCACATGGACCGTGTGCTGCTAACGGCAGTATCTTTGTGACCCTAATATACTGTGTTAGTGTTACTGCTAACTTCAAAAATCTCAGACATTTAAAATAAAACCCCAGGCCTTATTATCCCTTAATAAAATGTCATTTAAGCTGCAGATGGATGAGACCCTTATTGCCATATTCAGCCTCAAGCTGAGGGTCAGATACTCATCCTAGACTTTACTCGACATGTATGTTTGGAATTTAGTACCTGCCTTTCATCTTTCCCCAGCCCCCATTAATTCTTTTGCCTTTACTCAGCTTCGACTTCAGCCCTCCAATATTCCTTTGTCACCAGTCACAGCTGTTCAGGACTCCCTCATCTCAGCCTAGCCAGCCTCAGCCTGATTACACCTGAGCTCTGCATCACTCAGTTGCCCTGCAGCCCTTTCTAACATCCTAGATCCATTCTAGTCTGCTCATGACCAATGCCCTGGACCAATTCTACATTGGTTAAGGCTGGGTGAATCTGGCTGATGCAAATTAGATGAATCATGGACTTTTCTTACAACAAGTTCCCTAAAATGTAACTCTCAAGACAAAACTGTCAGCTGTGGTCAGTGTTGATCAGGAAAAGATAGCTGTTAATTAGCAATACCTGTTAATTAGCATGCACACTGGATCAGGCCATTAACAAATGCAATGTGAAGCTACTATGAAAGCTAATTCAAGTCATTATCTAGGTAACTGTGTTTCTATTTCCAGCACAACACTGTCATAAGAGACCTTCTGATCACTTCTGTATTTACATTTGCTGTGCATCTGTACTAGCATCTCCAAGCACTGATGTCTTGGAGGAACACACACTGAGATACTTCCTGACTGAGCTCAGCTTCCAGTACGGGAACTCAGCTGGGTGCATCTCAAGATGTGAACCGAACACAGGCATAAAAACATGGCTAAGACAAAAGTCTGGCATTTAGAAGGCAGTTCTCTGCTCTGGTTTATGACAAAAACCACTACTCAGATTACTCATATAATAACAATTTTACCTCATTCTCCTGTTTTACTCAGCCTGTACAATGGAACAGGTTGGTCTGTTTAGTCTGTCCCACAATTTTCACTCATGTTGCCATTACCCTATATTCACAGAGTGCATGGGGTCTTTGGCTTTCAAAGCTTCACAGGACTGTGTATTCATTTCTGCTGTTTATAGTGCTCTCCCTGCAAGAGGACACAGGGACACATCCATAGAGTACTCAGCAACAGATTCATAGTAGTCATGAATGTAAGTTCCAGCATGTATTTTCTCCCTGCTTCCAGCCATCAGTGTCTAATGTCATTATGACAATTTATACTTTTTGGCTACCACAGCCTCCTACAGCAAAGAATTTAATGAGTAATACTGATTGCATCAAGTCATACATGTTTCCCCTTTGCTTCAGCAGAAAAAAGTGTTTCTGCTGCTGCACCATCGTGGTGCATAGTATTAGCCTTGCAATTTAGCCTGCACAGGGAAGTCTGGATGGATTGTTTAATGACTTGCAGTGCAAGACATTCTAATCTCTTTGCCTAGTGAAATTGCTCAGCACTGGGATTAATACTGAAGTACAGACCAGCGGAAAATATCTTTAAAAGGCAAGGGTACAGTCCAGGGTGAATATGGTTGACAGTTACACTAGGTATATGAGCTGCTTATAGTTTTATCACTATGTGTATTCTAAGCACAGTCCTTCAATTAATTGATTCCTAGGACTTGATATAGACAATATCGAAATATATCTGACAATGGCATTTTCACAAGTAGCATTACCCATCCCACCCCAGCTTGGATTTCTCACCTTTGTGGTCCACAACTTGACTGTCCAGTCAAATGATGATGTGACAAAGAGATGGGAAAAGTCAATTGGACCCACTGCCATGTGACAATTGATTCCTGTGACGGGTCCTTGGTGGCCTTCAAAAATTTCACCAATGCCAGCTTTACTGCAGGAAGAAGAGACATTTGCATTCAGACAGTGATTTAACATCTGGTATTTTAACATAATTTTTCTTCACTCTTAGATTCTTGTTGCCTTTTAAAGTTCCATTTAACGTGTAAATCTCTCTTTTTTCAGAAAGGCCTTTGCCTGCAGATGTTTGCTCCTGTGGGCACAATTATCCAGCACAGGGAGATTTTTTCTTACTTCTGAAGACTTGGTTTACTCACTTTTATATACATTATCTACTATTGTAGCTTGAAATAACATTTATGTATACTTATAAAATAATCAGAAATTATAAATATACTATAGCTTATGCTTCTGAGTAAGCCAATATCACAAGGAATAACATTAAAATACAAATGCAAATATGTTAATGACTTATCAAGAGCAATTCTTTTTCTCTTAAATATCTAAATAACTTTCCACAGTAGTTAATCAAGTCACTAGGAAGCAAATCCTTTTTCAGAAAAAGTGAGGGAACTGTTCCTGTGATCAGGTATCATGCAGCCATTGCTCTCAGCAAGGGGAGATGTACATTTTGTCAGCCTGAGGGTAGAATAGCTATTAGGAAGGAAAAATACAATGCTGTGCAAGAGAGAATGTGCACAGTTTTCTTCTTCCTGGAAGCAAATGACACCAGATCAGTTGTCAGTGCTGTCTCACCGTGTACGCAGAAAGGGGGATCATGAAATTGCCCTTATACATTATAGAAAACTTGCAGATGGAAGAAAATACATTAAAAATAGCCCCAGCTCTGGTAAGGCTGCCAGCCCTGTGCCAGTGTAAACAGAGCATACTCAAAGAGGTGAGGAGCTGGACTGGAGGAAGTTGGTTCCTCAGATTGCTAGTGTGGTGTCCCTTCACCTTTCTTGTTGACCGTGACAGCATGGCCTCATTTAGGCTCCCCTGCCAGACCTCGCAGCATGTGCTGGAGCAGGGGCCGAGTTTTGCAGTGCCTCTGCAATGCTGGGTACAAAGCACGCCTCTTATTTTATCCTCATCTGTCTGCCATGTGATCGGTAGGATAGGGGGAGTTCTGGAGCACTGAGAACACCTTGTGTATCTGCTGGGCTTTGCATACCCTTTTGCAGAATAACATATGGCTCGCCACTGTGCTGGGCTGAAGGACACAGGAGCCTCTGGAAATAAAACATGGATGACAGTAAAAAGCTCTAGGAAAGACAGGCAAGAGCAGAAAAGGTGTGCATTTGTTGATGGTCAGCAGAAGGTTTAATAAAAAGATGGACCAACAAGACGATCTGGCATCTTCTTCTTGTGAGGAAGAAACTAGGCATGTCTGAAAGATCAGAAGTGAGCAATACCCTTGGGCATGCTTCATCTATCCTAGCAGCCTAAGACTAATTTAATCCATCAGCTGCCACGCAGTGCTGCGCAGAAGTACCTGGCACTGGATGGCCATGCACTGGGACATGCACGCTCTGTTTCTCACATACACATGTGCCCATGGTGGCTTTTCTCTGATATATGCCTGTGGAGACTGAAGATAGAGCTGAGGATGATAAAAAACAAAGTGGATTACCTCTCTTATGAGTGGTTCAGGCCTGGTTACCCTGCAACAAAACTGTCTTCTAGGGCCTATTTTGAGCTGCCCAGACATAGCTACCTACATCTCAGCTAGCTGTCTAAACCTTTGTCTCACTTCATGGGTGAGGAAGAGGCATTTCCGAGGTCCCAGTCATCACTTCTTCAGGCAGATGTCTGAAAAAGGTAAAGGAAATCAAGCCCTAAGAGCAGTCATTGCTCCCCACCACTACACAGGGAGTGGGGGACAGTTACCTCAGTGTAACTGGCTGTAGCATGGATGCTCCAAGTCAGGAGACTCCTGTCCTAGTTGTGCAAATTAGAACAGTACAGACAGCACTGATCCAAGAGAAAAACCAGGAAAGGCTGCCCACACACACTTGGTTACTTCACACCAACACAGGTACACAATGTTATTTAAATACAAAGTGCTGAACATCACCTTCCATGACGACAGGCTGTGTAGACTGTTCCCTCTTCACTGCCAACGACAAAGTTATTGACATCTCCAGTTGGGAAAGCCATTCCTGTAACCGCCACTGGTTTGGACTTATTGTACACTAGCTCCATGCTCTCCTACCAAAACAGGTCTTTGTTATTATTCTACAATCATCCTTCTGTTTGGCTGATTTGTTTTGGTTTTGGTTTTCCTGATTAATTTCTGAATGTTACACAATATAGCAGGAGGGGAAGAGGAAAACATCTGACCCAGTCACAGGATTTTGTTTTCTACATAGGACGTTGTGAGAAGATGCAATGTCACAAACTAAGATGCACTGCTCCTGCCATCCCCCTCCCACTGTCTGTCACACATCTGAGAGTGGCTGGAAGTCTCTGGTCTTTGCTACATCATCTTAAATCAGGCAGAAATGACAGGTGAGAATTTAAAATCTAATGGTGCAGAAACTAAAGATAATACCTTAATGGTTACACTTGCCAGCCCCAGGCTCTAATAAAACATTCAACACCTTTCTATTTACAAACAGTTTTTAAATCAGTTGTTTGTCAGGAAACACATGTACTACCATGTGCACCTGAGGCATTTATCAGACTGTACCGCTTGCAGACCAAAATTTAAAAGTCGGAGATCTGTCACTAACGGCTTTGTAAGCACTGCTTTTCAGGGATATTTTGAGGTAACCATAAACATTCCCTCTAGACTCCACCATCAAGCTACAAACCAACAAGTGTATTTTCTTTTTTATTTTGGTAGCTGTATCTCAAAGTAAATCAGTATGTCCATTTTTGCTATTGCAAGTACAGCCAGCATGAACAGTTTGTGGCCAGTGCAAGATGCATATGCTTTGAGCAGATTTTACACAACTTTTTGGTTGCTCAGCCTAAAAGGTGTAACCCAAGAATACACAAAGGGGCTAAGGGGCTGAATGATTTAGCAATTTTAATTTTTATCTATTTAAGTGGGTATGTTTTCTATGTTTAAAATGCCTAAGTTGCTGTTTTCCTAGGGCCAAAGCCTGTAGTGTTTTTCTCAGAAGGCCTTTTTGCTGTAGCTACAGAAAGTGGACATCCCTGTCAGAAGAGAGGGCTGCAACTCCACAGGGAAATACTTTTGCTTGCGTTATACTTTCCTTTGAAATACATTTGGTTAAAAAGGCAAAACAAGACCTGGAAAATGCACTGGCAGAGCACCAGTGGATCATATAGATCTGTGAAAATCTTCTGGGGTGAGACCATCATTTAGTGTCTCTGTGGAGACATGGACAGATACTGTGGTGGACTCTCTCCTCCCAGTGCCTACACCACGGCTGTACATGAGTGCTCTGGATCTGTGTCTGCAGAAAGTTTCAGACTGACACACATCAGCAACACTCTGCTCCTCCCAACTTAAAGCTACGGCATGTAGCTTGACATAAATTCCTGTACCTCTCTTCTAGATCGCCATAGGCCATGCGCCAAACTTCAGCATAACGTGGGGAGCATTCCCACCCTTGTTGAAAGCCACTTTTGGCCATCTGCATGATGAAGTACCCAAACTCAGATGTTCACAAATCTCTCCTTCAAAATTTAGTATTCCAGTCAGTGGGCCATTTTAGATGCCTCCACTTTTATTCTAGAGGAGTACTGGTTTCTCAAAGTCTCAGGACATGATTACCAGACTCATACTGTTGCCTTACATGAGCATGAGCAAGAGGAACTTTGAAGTTGGCCTCACTTGGGGGAGTAGATACTTTGACTTCCAGAAGCACCTTCCATCCTAAAATTTGACAGTTCTTCTACCCCAGAGTAGGTATCTGTAATGGTATTATCACACTGGGATAGAATGAGTTGTCCTCCAGAAGTGTAGTCTTTCTCTTACATTAACTGTAAAGGGGATTTACTAGCTTAGATTTGACATGGACCTAAGTTTTAGATGGCTGTGGTGAGGATAGAGGAGTCCCACCTCTTGTCTCAAAATTGAAAAGCAAATAATTCAATAGTAATTGTGTATTAATGCATAATTAACAGGTGATTAACGGAATCTTCAGGAGGAGTTTCTATGCAGCACTTTGAAACAAGATCTCGTGATGCTTAGCAAAAATGGTACTAAATTTTCTTTTTCTTAGATATTATATATAAAAAAGTGATGCATTGGAATAGAAAATGTACTGCTCCAGAAGATAACACTTAAAAGATGCTTTCCATAGACTTCTTTCAGCATCCGACTCTTTGTTTAGTTGCCATTATTATAATCGCTAGTGGTTTGGGCAATTTTCCTGAGTGTCCTTTCTTTTCTGATACAAAGAAGACTGGGGGAATGGGGGTGTTTTGCAGGGGGGGAAGACAATAGTAGCAAACATTCCAGAGGTGGGAAATTAGTTCTAAAACTTTTTATTTTCATTGTTTGTTCCTTTGGCTACTGAAAGCAAGCAGCTTTCTGACTGTGTGTTGGAAACCCATAGTGCCTAGGAAGCGTTCAGCAGCAGTGCAGTCCAGTCCGTATTTGTTTGGCAATGCTGTAGACCAAGTGCAACTCATACCACAGGCAACTTCTGTAATTACTGTGCTTTAAAATGGATTATTTCATTTTCACTTGAAGCTGACCTGTGTATTAACGTATTACAATAATTACATGATTTGTGGTAAAGGAAATGGGGTTTGGCTCTTAGCAGAGACTGCTGGAAGCAAGCTGTATTCTTTCAAGTGCATCCATTGGGTTTTAGTTTGTATAGGACATGAGGTTTTGGCTTTTAGGAGCCATGTTCCATTAAAGCAGGTATCCTGCTCTACTGAAGGTACCTTTTTTTGGTCCTGTATAAGTGAAAACAAACCCACCTGTGGAGTCGAGAGCATGTCCAGGCTCCAGGAGCACATTTTGCCATCCGTGGAGACAGTAATGAGATTGTGCGCATTCTGTGTTCCAACTACATTCACGCAATACACAGGATGCTGAAAACATATGAACACTGGAAATTAGAGAGCCATTCTCACATCTTCATGAGCACATTTCTACTGTCTCATATGTTATTTTAAAAAATGATTGAGTAGTAATATCATAATGTAATGCCTGGAAAATAGAGGACTCAGCTTTTGCCAGGTAGGAATTGGTTTTGTTTTTTTTTTTTTTTTTAAAATTTAAATTTTAAAAGGCACATTATGGAGGGCAAAATGTTTTGAAAGTTTCATTTTCCTCATAATAAAAGAATCCAGTTGAGTAATGCTGTGAAAATACTGAATTATGTGGATGAGATTTCACCCACAGGGACATATATCATTCTACCGATGGCTTTTGACACTGAAAATAACTGGCAGAAAGAGGCAAAATGAAAAACTTTATTCAAGAAAACAGCTGCATAAAACTTGAACTTTCCTAGAATTTGGCTTGCATGATAAATATTTGCAAATGTAATTCAGCTGAAAAACACGAGCAAGTCCATCAGCATTCTCTAGCACTGGCCAATATACTAGTCAAAATCTGTCATTATAAATATAGAGTGATTAAATTTAGGGTGCTACACCTGGTTCACCATAGCATACTCACTCCCTGGAGACTGAATTCCACTTAGTATGCAATAATGAAATTGAGCTATTCCTTTTCTAAGGAAGTTGGTAACGTCTTGAGCCTAAAGCATCACCTGATGGTGACATATGAGGGGTGGTTCAAGTTCAGCCATCTCCAGAATGGAAAACTGTCAAGACTGAACAATAAAATCTAATTGTCTTTGACCAGTGCAAATGGTATGGCTGAACTAAGTGTAAGAAATACGCACGAGTTAAGCAAAATAAAATTTTCTTTCTCTGCCTGTTTTGCTGATGAATAGGAGACCTGCGTCTCCAGGAAGAAAAAATACTTTTCACTAATAGTTACCTTCTTTAAAGGAAATGAGGACCAACTTACAAGAGATCCTTATAGACCTTCTAAGCCAACTCCATGTAGGGTTAGAAACCTAGCATTTGCTCCTGCTGAAAGGAACGGCAGAACTACCACTTATTTTAGACTACTTCAAGATCCAGCTGCAGGTCACCTATGTAGTCAGCAGGGAAAGGCAGAAATCTACAGAGCACTGGCTGTATCAACAAAATTTGGGTTTGATACCTGAAAGAGCCCAGTAAATGCTCCCTCCCTAGGAGCAAAAAGGGCAGCACCTGAACTCGCCCTGTGCATACGCGCACACTGAGGGTGCCCTCGGCACTTGCTGCTGCTGCAGTGGTGCCTTGTGTGTGGGGGCCACCTGTACACACCAGTTAAGTTGCAAGGTCCATTCTGGTGCTGATTTTTCTCTTTCTCTCAAGATTGTCAGGCACCTGGTTTTCCTCAGATCATTAAATGGACCCCAGTCTGTCCCTCACATCTCATGCTATTACTTTCTACTGCTTAGTAGTGACCACAGCGTTAAACATGATCAGCACATACTGATGTGTAAAATAAGCACAGACCAATTTTTTCATGGGTGTTTCACCTCCAGTAGTCAGGGGACAGAGTGGGTGGGATGAAGCTAAAGAAAGCAGCAGAATATCTAGAATATTTAGAGAGGAGGGAGAGAGTGAGCCACATCTTTCTAGCAGCACTTCAGTGTGCCAGGTCTGGTTTTAATCAGAGCTACCAGCCATCAATTTCATGCACAATAAAACTCATGGCAGAAATGAAAAGATGTAAGGAAAATGGATGAAAAAGACAACCAACTGTACATAACAGAAAGTCTAAACAGGCTCCTGCCTTTCAAAGGGTTGCTGCCAGCTTGCTTTTATTTATTTTGGAAATGAAATCATCATGCAAAAGGGTTTTGTCATAATTAAAATTTCCTGTTGTCCCAAGTGCAGATGTGTGGTGGGTGTGAAAGGAAATTAGTGAGTAAGCTGTGGGTTTTATTCTCTTTCCTGGTGAATCAACGCAGCAATCAGTGATACTAAACTTCAGGAAGGTTTAAGTCAGTGATAACAACACTATTTGTTTCAAATAAACAAGGTGAGGGAAAGAAAAAAGAATATTTTTTTCACATGTGGCCCAAGTTCAAAGTACAAAGTGGATATTTGACTGATGTATCTAGCAGTATATAAAATAACATTGTTACAGTAATGTTGTCTTAATTTAATCGTTTTTATTTTGTCGTGGCAGATAGGATTCAAGGCAGCATTTTGCAACCAAGACTTTATTTACAGTTTATATCTGTATATGAATAGAAAGTACTAATTTATTGTAAAATCTGATCACTCCTTAAAAACACCATGCTTTCCCATGTTAAACTGTGTAAGCATTTCCTTATACCAATCCATGACAACACATAAAGTGCCCATCCACAAATGAAAGTCATATATTTATATCTGTGGAAAGCAAACCATTGCATATTGTTTTATTGTAATAATAAAATCAGTTTAATATAAAATTTTAGGAGGTACAATTTTGTCTTAAACATTTTTTTGACTGTAAGGAATTTATTTCCCATTAACTTTTATTTTTCCACTAGATTTTGAGTTTCACTTTTTCAGTTTTCAGTGTTAGTCAGCTTCTTGCCACTAGTTTTCTGGTCTGCTACATCTCTAAATTGCACTTCCAGGAAAGACTGTTTCTTTTCAAGCAGGTTGAGCAATTTATTGGTGACAAAACAAGCAAAAACATTAGGGAACTGAAATGCAGTGATGAAGCTGCAATCCATGGCACAGATCATTAGATTATTACATCAACATTCATGATAGTGGAAATTTAGGGAACAATATTTGTACTGCCTGGCCCACTAAGTGTGTCAGTGCATACCTGTCATTTTTCAATACAAGAGACTTGCCATCATATTACTGGCCCCATGCTGAATCTTTTACATTAATTCATGTGGCATGGCTTCTAGAGTTGTCTTTTAACTCCAGAGATTATGTTGTCACAGTCAACTAAAAGCTGAACTGTGATCTGCAAATTCCAAAGATAAGAATCACAGAATTATAAAAGCTGGAGGTGCAAAAGACCTACCACTTGTCCTTTGCTCTGTTAGAGCAAGATTATTATCTTATTTCTCAGAGTGCTTTGTGTAGTTCAGTTTCTTATGTTCCAGGAAATCTGCATTTTTCTGCATTCTTATATCATATTTCTCCTTTCAGCCTGTATTTTCTTTTCTGCTTCCCCCTCAGAAATGGTCCCAAGCCCACTCCCAGGATAAGAAATGTTCACCATCCACAGAGTACACCTTCCAGCTCTTACGAAGAGGCTGCCTGAGCCCAAGCTCTGGAAGATGAGAGCTCAAGAACGCTCAGCATCTTAGTGCAGGATGGATGGGAGGTCAGAGCCATAGCAGAGAGAGGACCCTTTAGGAGGCAGTCCAGGCTTGTCTCTTCCTCCAGCACAATATGAGCACATTGCATATAATAAGTCTTCTACCACAGACAACATCTTTTTATCATAGAATCTAGAACTAATAGCATGTTTTGGGTTGGAAGGGACCTTTAAAGGACATCTAGTCCAACCCCCTTGCAGTGAGCAGGGACATCTTTAACTAGATCAGGTGTCTCGGAGCCCCGTCTAACCTAACCTTGAATGTTTCCAGGGATGGGGCATCTACCACCTCTCTTGGCTACCTTTTCCAGGTTTCACCACCTTTACTGTAAATAATTCCTTCCTTATATCCAGTCTAAATCTACCCTCTTTCTGTTCAAAACTGGTGTTCCTTGTCTTTGCTCTATAGGCCCTGTTAAAAAGTCTCTGTCTGTTTTATAAGCTCCTTTTACATACTGAAAGGCTGCAGTGAGTTCTCCCTGGAGCCTTCTCTTCTCCAGGCTGAACAACCTCAACTCCTTCAGCCTTTCCTCATAGGAGAGATGCTCCAGCCCTCTGTCATTTTTGTGGCCTTCCTCTGGACCCACTCCAACAGGTCTGTGTCTTTCTTGTGCTGAGGACTCCGGAGCGAGACACAGTACTCCAGGTGATATCACAGAGAAATTCTCTTCCTTCTCAGGTGTTTTCTGCTACTGCTTCACCTGTGTATCTCATCAGAGCCCCGTGCCACCATCACTATATCTGCAGGTATCTCTGTGTGTTGGCAAAATGCTCTTCCACATCATTCTGTTGAAACAAATTCCCAGTCATTGTGCAAGCTCTCCCCTATGGCCCTGTCTGGAGTTGGAGACCGTGACAGGCACTGATGTATGTCTCTGGTGGAAAGCAGAAGCAAACTGCCCCACTCCCTTCAAGGAAGCCAGTGTCTAGAGTAATAGGACTTCACTGAGACCACTGTAGGTGCCTAATCTGGTTCAAAAGAGAAACTTGTGTACAACAAGACAACAAAAAATTATTCATATTGCCTGCCGTGCTGGACCGACAGATACGCAGGCTCTGTGGTGACATGGTTCTCTTTATAGGCAATGGAGAGCAAGAGTTGCAGTGCCACTGTACTGGCATGAAGGTGCCTCACTGAAGTATTGTAATTGATCCTGCCCTCTTTCTGGGAGAGGAGGATAATTTCCTGACCTGACCATATGAAGTGTGATGGTTAAGCACTTATGGGAGGTAGCTGCATATCTCTTTCTTACCTTTCAAGGGCCACACCCATGTTTCCATCTGTGTGGCAACCAGCATTGGAGACACAACTAAACAGATCCACTTCCCTGCTGACCATCTCCTCTAAGTGAGGAGGAAGTGATTTTCATCCTTACCGTGTGAGCAGCAGCAGATAAGGGAGTTCTCTGAACTGGAGTGCGCCTGTGACTGCGGTTATCCCACAGGACAATTTGGCCAGAGTAAGTTCCGCCAACGACCAGGTTTGGGTGAAAGCGGGCAAAACAGACAGACATCACGGAGGACTGTAGTAAAACAGGTAGAGGAGAAAGGGGTTACATGGTCAGTCATCTTCAGTTCTCTCTGCATGAGCTCTTGCACATATTCCTTGCACACCAGTAATTCTGCTAAAGCTAAGAGGACACATGCAAAAAGCTAATTTTGACTCTACAATGTGTAGTTTCATTGGCTCCCAGGCTCTGAGCAACCTGATCTAGTTGATGATGTCCCTCCTCACTGTAGGGGGTTGGACTAGATGACTTTTAATGATCCCTTCCAAGCCAAACTACTCTATGATTCTATGAAAATATGCATCACAGGATGCTAAAAATCTGAGATAACGATGGGAAAGTGCTTAATGTCATTTCCAAAAGTGAGAACTTCAAGTAACCAACAAAGGTTGTCATCTTGGACCATTATTTCCCATCAGGGAGAGCTCTTTCTCTACTACTCCTCTGGTTTTTAACTCTCAAACAACTTGAGGTGAGTTTGTGAAAGACCCTCCAAAGTTTCTGTCAAAGTGTGCTGCCCTGCGAGCATCAGCTAAGAAGCTGCATCTCATTGTTGGATTGTTTACTGATTTCTCTGCTACAGAGAGGTCTTCTTCTAATAGCAGAAGGAATCACACTTTCCCTTACACCATTTGAGCAGAAATGAAGTTTTCCTCATTTTAATTACAGATGAGTTGCCTTCTTACATTTTCTTTAGCTAGGGATGCTGAGGAGCCAGATTGATGTGACGGTTACACTGGCTCTTGGGTAGAGTGCCCCACAAGCCAGTATGGACAGGTATCTATCCCAGCTGCCATCTTACAGTGTTTTTAAAATAACATACAACACCTGAAGTCCTCAAGGGAGCAGTCCCCAAAACCTTCATGTGCCAACAAGGTACAGCCAACAGCAACAACCTGCAAATCTTTCAAGTCCTCCATCCTCTTTCTAAGAAATTATTTCTCATTCTTATATAATTGGTCATGGATGTTATGTCTTGGTTTTATGCCAAGTGAAAAGCAAAAGCTACAGCATTTATATATTTTCCTCAAAATTCACACACTAATAAAGACAGTTTGCAAACAGAAACAAATACCATTTTTTCATCGGCAGTTCTAGTGACATTTACAAGAAACAGAGCAGGACTTGAACTGCTGCAGCAATCACAGTCAGAAAATTAAATTCACTGTTAGTGGTCACATTCTTAAAAATTCATTTTCTGTCTGTTTTCAATGAGTTTTGGTAACACATCGTTGTTATAGTTTAACGACTGGATATTCTGAAGTGGTGATGTTCCTATGTGTGAACTCAGCTTACTCAATGACAAAGGGATAACTAAATTACCATATTTCTGTTGCATAAAAAGCATGGCAGACGTTTAAGTAAAGTTTGTTCAGCTGGGAACATAAGAGCTGCCAAGCTGAACCAGACCAAATGTCTACCTAGCTGATGGTTTTGTCTCTGGCAGAAGTGGACTGAGCTATAAAAAATCTGAAGTGGGCAAATGTGTTGTCTTCTTTCCTTACTGCTTCTCATCCTGTTGTCTAGTGGCTAAAGATAGGTTTGAACTCATACACCAGAGTTTTAAAACCCATTCTGAGAGGGCTAGAATTAATTATGCTAACTCTTTAGGCCTACAAGAATAAAGCAAAATGTGAAGTTACAATAGTTTTTACTGAATTTATGTGGCTGCCTGACACCTATTGTTTAAAACCAGAGTATATGCTAAATTAACTTAGACATACTTATAGCATCCAGCAGTATATTCAGTACTGTTTTTTGCCTAATAAGATCACCAAGACAATTAAATAACCTGCCACTACCTATTTTCTTCCCCATTCTCTCTGGATTCTCATGGCTGTTCAGCTGATATCTTTGATCCCTTCCTTTCTTGACTAAAGCTTTTGCATATGGTTCTCTGATATTATGTAGTCTGGTATCTAATGACTAGATGATTAGTATACATAATTGCCTGTTTTAGTCCATATCTATCTAGGTAATTACTCTATGGTCAGAGAACCAAATGGTAGCTTCCAAACACTATTTCCAAATGATCTATTAGCATTAAGGATATGAAAACCCACCTCTGAGTTACAGCATTTAGGTACTGCCAAGAGGGGCTTAAAACTCAGCTACAATGCAGCTGCCATCCAGTTTCCACAGATCCCCCACATGTTATAATTAAAACGACGCAACAGCACATGTTCTACATTTTATCTCTCTGTTTAATGGCTTCATGCATTGTTTTAATCAGCCCCACTCATTCCTTATAACTAAGCTGACAGATATTCTTACATGAAGTAAAATAGCCAGATGATTTTAAAATAGTACATCTCCACCACTCTGTAAACCCCACAGCAGCTACAGGTTCCACATGTATTTTAAGAAACCCCAATTCAAACAGTCATTCCACAACAAAGTTCTGAGTTTGTCCGAAACAAACTTGGGAGACTCTGAAGCAGGGTGAAGCAGCCAAGTGGACAGTGTATTTTTAAATGTTGTGTTTTCATGGTTAGCATGTTTTTCAAGTCAGAATCCCAAAAAACAGTTGAATGGTCAGGATATAAACTGCTAAAGTGTGTTTTTCATAAAGTTCAAAAATAACCTACAGACATGACATGGACTTAAGCCCTCTGCACTACTTCTGGTTTTCTGTATCACTGCAAACTATCTTGCATTCCTCAGATGACGAAATATTCACATCCTTTTAATTATGTCAATATTATTTTTAACTGAGGAAAAGCTTCTGTCAAATATTAGAATTTAACAGTTTAAAGGACTCCACTCCATAGCACTTAATATAGTGATTATTTTCTTAAAGTTAATGGCAGTAGTCAGACAAGTAAGGTCTGTAAGATCCAGCCCATTCATTTAACAACTCTAAAAGCATTAATTTCTTAGCTTTAATGGTAGAGTGGCAGACAAGTCTCCAGTCTGTCTGAACAGCTCTATGTTCAAGGAGAGCAGCAGAAACCATTCTCTATAAGTCTCTTCTGCCTCCAGGCTGCCTCTTGTTTGCTGATTCAAGCAGTCTTGCTCCTCTAAAACAGTTTTGCTTCTGACTTCAAGGGGGAGGAACCAGCACATGGTCAGGTTTTAAAATTATGGTTATCCGTCTTTGCACTTCTGCCACACTTTTCTAAGGAAATCTCACTACTCTTGGCAATAAGGAGAGTAAAGTTTTCCAGTTTTTTCAGTTAGGCATATTTTATATGCTGTAGGTGCTCGGTTACCATTGCAAAGGACAGAAGCAGCTAGTTTCATAGCATACGGTGACAGTGCATAAGGAAATGTAAGAGGGATCATGTCAGAAGGCAATTCCTCAGGCAGTTTAGTGCCCACAGTGTAAAAGCTGCCTTTAGAGTAAGAGGTTCCCAGCATTATCTTTTTATGGGTGCCACAGGACAACTGTGTCTGCAAGCTGTCGGGACCTGCAAGGGACAGGCAAACCCCAGAGTTTGGTCATCTTAAGTTCTCTGAATTGCTCTGTGCAGTGAATCATGTCATTATTCACTTTAGCTTAACACTCTGGTGTTTTTGCCCCTCCATGCAAATACAGTCTGCTGGATTTAGTTTTCCCTGTCTCTCCTTAGCATTCTCTGCAACCCCACTAACCTATTTCCGGTATTCCTGGCTTTGTGATCTGCTGCCCAGATTTTCTACTTTTGTATCCTGGTGGTGGCTTTCTGGTGGGTACCAGCATGCTGGTGCTGCTGCCTCATGCGCAGTGTGAGCTCTGCTTGCCTGCGGAGGTGAGCAGCTCTCAAAGGGCCAGATGAGCGAGCCTGACTCAGCTCCAGGTGGGAGCACTGCCAGGCAAAAGGGAGTGAATCCCAGGCTGGTAAAGTTGGGATTTTTGCCTGGCAACTGGGCCATCCCGCTCCGCTCCCTGGAAGCTAGAGCTTCTGCTGCCAGCTGTGGCGGAACTGTGCTGTAAGCATGAGAAAGGGAGCCCGAGACGCCTGCGTTCCTGTCACGGCAGAGAGAAGGCTGACCCGGCGCCCTGCTCTGGCAGCTCTCAGCTCACCTCGGCCCGTGCCGTGCCAAGGGGAGCGTCGGCCCCCTCCTTCCCCCCATGCTCACACGCTCAACTTGGGCACAGAGCGCTCTTCAAGTGGCTGGCAGAGCTGGTTTTTATTTTAGAAGCTTAATCTGGCCCAGATTTGAATTAATGATGGCATATCCCTTCAACCACAGACAAACATGCTCGGGAGAGACAGTCGTTTGATTCTCCCTACCGAGAAGCCCGACCTCAATACCCACATCTGATGTGTGTAAGGCCCTAGAGATTTGGCTGTCTGTGCTCATGTCCGTAGATTCGGATGGCACTCTGCCCAGCCACCAGTTGAACAAGTTCACAAAGACCTGGGTGCTAAACAATAATGACTTTCAATAGGCAACAACTACTGCATTAGGCAAGACCTCTTCTGCAGGAAACCACCCCCGTAGGCAGCACTTCCATACTGGTGCCATATGCCTACACTTGACACCAGATGGATCTCAAAACAATACTTTGTCAGTGGGAAGAAGTGATCTGAGCAGTTCACAGGCATTTCTAGTCTCTGAAATACCAGGTTATATTGCAGCAGGCACTCAGGAAACTCCTGGGTAGATCTTCTAGCTGAGCAAACACATGTGAAAAAGCACTACGGTCTGTGGCGTGCTATTCTAGGTCACTTTAGCACAGGCAACAGCAGGCAATAAAATCAACTGCAGCTGAGATAAAGAGGCAGATCTTTCACCAGCTTGGTAGAATTGGCTTGGAGGGACTGAGAGCAAAGGGATAAAGCTGTGGTACTGCTCCTTAGCTGCAACCACAAAAAGGTGCCAAACTCATGATCCTTTATCCATAGGAACTGAAGAATATGGACTAGGTTTCTGATCACCTGCACCTGCCCTCCTGAGGATTAAATAAAGACTAAGGCCAGAAGTACACTTGCAATTTATTCATAATCTTTTGCTCTTGCTCCTGCTCATTAAGAACAACATTTAAAGAGTCTAAGCACTCCCAGTCCCTCTGAGAGCTGCTCTACCTT